GTAATCACTACACTACCAGAGCTCACAATAATAGAATTTAAATGTCCTTTCAGTCAATTTATTTTGATTATAAAAACAAAATACTCTGTACTTGACATTTCAAGGCTATTCCTCAATTCCATAAACACACTGAAACATTTCATCTTCTTTTATCTTCCTAGCAAAACTGAGAAGAAGTGATCATTTTGCAGATGTAAATAAAGAAATTAAGATATCTTAATCTATAACCAACAGTGGAAGTACAGCAAAGACTTTATGTGCATGTATGCATCTTCTGGGATAGTTCCCTAAAAAAGGATTAACAATATCCACTATGATCTATTAGAGTACCCTTGTTAACACATGTGATGAATTCATACTACATGTGTTGTGTCAGTCTATACCAATTATGCACAATGTCTTTCTGTACAATGTCTGTCAAGGAAGAAATATTAAATGTTTCTCCACATTTGGGAAATTTCTACTTAAAATTTTTATAATGTAATTTACATATAAATAGCATTATAATGTAATTTATAAACAGTAAGTTTAATAAAAATCTATATTATTAACACCTAAAATTTTCAACTTAAAAATTGTTTGTGTCAGATGTATATATATATAATCTTTGTATATGTCTATAGTCTATAAACAAGATGTCTGGAGTGGCACTGTGGATCAGCACTAGACTGAAAGTCACAAGGTTGACAGATCAAAGCCATCAGCTGCTCCTCAGAAGCCCTATGAGTTATGAGTCAAAACTGACTCGAAGACACTTAATAACAAAACAGCAACATGTCTATAAATGACTCAAGGGCAGTTAACAAAAACAGCATATCTATAATAATATCAATATCTAGGCTTACAAAATTTGAGCCTTTAACCTTTGAGGCTGTAAAATTTGTTGTTGTGAATTACTTGGCATAGTGAAGAATGTTTAGTAACATACAATGTTTAATAACACTTTAATAAAGTGCTGTAAATATTAGATATTAGTAGAACCCTTCTCTTAGCTGTGACATCCAAAATATCCCAGACATTAATAAATGTTCTTTGGGAAACAGACTCCAAATTATGACCAGTTAGCTCTCTCATTTTCACTATCGTTTCCTCTTTTCCTGTTCTTCTTACTCTATCTCATGTCTATGTCAGTATGATTTGTTTGTAGAAACTGTATTTCCTTTCAAATACCAATGTTGGGAAG